CGGTCCCCCACATCATAGTTGCGTTCCGCCGGGCTGAGCTTCTTCGAAAAGAACGCACAGGGGCGGAGTTTGGGTGGTGTGCCCGAGTGCTGGGAAAGTACAGTGCCTATCCCAGCCTCCGAAGCGTCCACCTCAACCGTGAAAGCCAAGGAGGGATCCGGATGAGCCAGCACTGGAGCCGTGGTAAACAGGTTCTTCAGGTGACTAAAAGCCCTGTCCGCCTCAGCTGACCACCGCAGACGCACCGGTCCCCCCTTCAGCAACGAGGTAATGGGAGCCGCTACCTGCCCAAAGCCCCGGATAAACCTCCGGTAGTAGTTGGCAAACCCCAAGAATCGCTGCACCTCCTTCACCGTGGTTGGAGTCGACCAATTACGCACGGCCGAAATGCAGTCACTCTCCATCCTCACCCCAGACGCGGACATGTGGTACCCTAGGAAGGAGATGGACTCCTGAAAGAACAGGCATTTCTCCACCTTGGCATACAGGTCATGCTCCAACAGTTGTCCAAGCACCTTACGCACCAGAGACACATGCTCGGCCCGTGTTGCAGAGTATATGAGAATGTCATCAATATACACCACTTCACCTTGTCCGTGCAGGTCCCTGAAAATCTCATCGACAAAGGATTGGAAGACTGATGGAGCATTCATCAAGCTGTATTGCATGACAAGGTACTCATAGTGTCCTGAGGTGGTACTGAATACCGTTTTCCACTCATCTCCCTCCCGGATAGGCACCAGGTTGTACGCGCTCCTGAGATCCAATTTCGTGAAGAAGCGCGCCCCGTGCAATGACTCCGTCATACAAGCTATCAGAGGTAGTGGATAGCTGTACTTGACGGTGATCTGATTAAGACCACGGTAATCAATGCACGGGCGTAACCCACCATCCTTCTTCTTCACAAAAAAGAAACTTGAGGAAACAGGTGAAGTGGAAGGTCGAATGTACCATTGTCTCAGAGATTCGGAGACATATGTGTCCATAGCCGCCTTCTCCTCCTGTGACAGAGGATACACGTGACTCCGGGGAAGTGCAGCGCCCACCTGGAGATTTATTGCACAATCCCCCGGACGATGGGGTGGTAATTTAGTCACCCTCTTTTTACTGAAGGCCATTAAATAGTTGGGTCATGAGTGGTTAACCAGGGAAGTCCCAACACCACAGGATACGCAGGAGAATCAATAAGATAGAGACTAATCCTCTCCTCATGACCCCCCTGCGTCCTCATTAAGAGTGGAGCGGTGACCTCGCTGATTAGGCCTGACCCTAACGGGCGACTATCTAATGCATGCATAGGGAAGGGCACATCAACACGTACAGTGGGAATCCCTAAACTAAGTGAATACTGACGATCAATAAAATTCCCAGCTGCGCCTGAATCTACTAGCGCCTTATGATGAGAATGAGGAGAAAACTCTGGGAAAACAACCTCAATACACATATGAGCAACAGGGAGCTCTGGGTGAGTCAGGTGCTTACTCACCTGAGACGGTCGACCAGTGCTCTGCCTACTGCCTCGACTCCCTGGGGACCCTCCCCAGCACCGACCAGCAGTGTGTCCTCTGCAGCCACAGTTGGTGCAGGGGACGGCCCCTCTCCTGGTCTCACTAAGCGCAGCACCTCTGAGCTCCATGGGGGTAGGGTCGGAGGTGCTGGGGGATGGAATGGACGGGCCCCGATCAGAACGTCCGCGGGTTTCCAACAGGTTATCCAGCCTGATGGACATTTCCATCAGTTGGTCCAGGTTGAAGTTGGTATCCCTGCAGGCCAGTTCCCGATGGACGTCCTCCCTTAGGCTGCATCGATAGTGGTCGATCAGGGCCCTCTCATTCCATCCTGCGCTGGCTGCCAGAGTCCTGAACTCCAGCGCAAAATCCTGCGCGCTCCTCCTCTCCTGTCTTAGGTGGAACAGACGTTCGCCCGCCACTCTCCCCTCCGGTGGATGATCGAATACCGCCCGAAAGCGGCAGGTGAAATCCTCGTAGCGGACTGATGTAGCGTCTATACATCTCCACTCGGCGTTGGCCCACTCGAGCGCCTTCCCCGACAGACAGGAGATGAGGGCGGACACGCTCTCGTATCCCAAGGGCTCCGGGTGAATGGTTGCCAGGTAGAGCTCTACCTGGAGAAGAAAACCCTGACACCCGGCTGGTGTTCCGTTGTATGCCCTCGGGAGCGAGAGCCGAATCCCACTGGACCCAGGTGGCGAAGGGGTGGACAGTGGTGTGGGAGGTTGAGTGGTTGGAGGAGGTGTAGGAAAGCTACCTCTCTCCCATCATTCCATAGTGTTAACCACTCTCTCCATAGCGGTGCCGAGAGCCTGGATCATGCTCTCCTGTCATTGGACGTGTTCCTCCATCGATCCGGACAGACTGGCTGTACCTGCTGACTCCATAGTGGTGCGTGTTTCTGTCACGAGTGTCAGTGTAATGCGGTGGATCGAAGTCAGGCACAGGACACAGAACTCAATGAAAACGTACTTTACTAACAAGTAAAGAAACAAATACAAAATACCTCCACACAGGGAGGAGTAAACCCGCTCACCAAACGACAAACGAAACAAAATAACAAACACGCACAAAACACAATGGGAGCCACCGGGTTAAATAGGGAAGGAGTAATTGCCCGATGGGAAACAGGTGTGAGACAATCAGACAACAACAGGTAGAACATAGAAACATAGAACATAGATCGGCAGCAGCTAGTACTCCGGTGACGACGAACACCGAAGCCTGCCCGAGCAAGGAGGAGGGGCAGCCTCTGCAGAATCCGTGACACCATAAGCCTAGGGGGAGCTAAGCTTTTTCTAAGTAAATTGAATTAAATTGCCAAAATTATATAGTCTATTTAGCTTACTCCTGTCTATAGAGAAATAAACAAAATCATTCAAAATAGACTACTAATGCATGATTTGGCCACAGAGGATCATTAGGTTCCCCTAGCTTGAAAAAAAATAAAAATAAAGTTATTGTGACTTATGACTAAGGGTCTATTCTCATTGACAATAATTAATTAAGGTGAATTTCGAGAGATTCTCGAGAGGAATCGATTCTTGAGAGCCATTAGTGTAATGTAAACGTATGTATTTCTCACGTCTCGAACGCTACCTCCGGAGGTCGTGCACTACACTCACCCAACAGTTGCCCCACTCTAAGTAGTGCAATGTAAACTGAATTGTCTCATTGAGCCTAACATTCATACAGTAGAAATTATAATAGCAGAGCAATGTTTTTGAAACAGCTGAATTGTATAGACATTTTCATTATATTTTAGACTTCTTTAATTGAGTTTTCACCTGAAATTGCAGTAAAATCTGTATCCTTAAGAAAGGGATGCTCAACAGTGTTTTTCCCCCCTTGGCTGCTCTGAGCCACCGTCCAGGCAAGAAGCATGCATGCAGCAAGAGGCCAATCAACATCAGGGAATTATCAAAATCTTCAGTCGCAATTTTGTGTTTCCCTACTATAATGACTTCCATGCTATGGATAAAATGAAGCCTTGTTTGTTCTAAGGTAACTTTAATACGCTGAAACTGTACTTTTATATTCATATGAGAGGGGTAAACATGAATGTTTGACATGCTAATGTTACTAGCTAGCATAGTTAGCTGTGCTATTGACTTGCAAGCTACATTTAGCTAATGTTGCGTGTACAAACAAGAAAGTAAACCCTTGAATTGTCTGCACATGCTTGTGAATTGTTGAATTATTCAAGAGTGTAGCTAATATGTTTTAAATAAATATTTGCATTTGAATAGTTTGCAAGCTTACTGGCTAGTGGCTACTGTGATATTGGTATGTATACGGTACATTTGGAGCTGCAGAAGAAGATTGTCACGCCACAACGAATGGTAAGAAAAGGAAAAAAC